TTCCTATCGTATATCTAGTCGATATACTTAGAGAGGTAGTACCTCTTCTATATATATATATATACTTTATCTCCTATATAGTTTTACTATTTTAATAACCGGCTTATACGATTATAGATTTTTTTACTAATATTAATATATAACCTATCGAGCTATATAAAATTAAAGTTAATAACTCGCTTAAGATATAAAATAAAATTCTCTATAGTATCGAGTAAAGTCGGTCGAGACGGGCTCGTCTTAAATTAGAGCTTTATACTTTTAGTAGAGAAAAATAACTAAAGCTCTCGAAAGTTAGCTAGGCTAGGCGTTTAGTTAATTATATCGAGTATATCCTACTAAATCTATTTAAGGTATTCTAGCTATAGATAGTACCCGATAGCTTACTAAGCCTAATAGCTAGTAGTCTCGATTTACTAACTTTTAACTTAATAGGCTTTCGAATTTATATATATATAACTATAACTAGCTAGTAGGTACTAGGTATAATATACTTTATAGTATTTATATACCGACGGGTAGAAAACCTAATCTAACTAACGCGATAGCTACTCTATAGTTAGTAATTTAAATTTATCGCCTAATACTAGTATATATAGGAAAAGTATATAAACGGTAATATTATACGCTCCGACGATATAACTAAGTAGGAAGTAAAGAACGTCTCGAACTATTATAGACGATATCCTCTTAGTTACGTTAGGACCTAGGCCGCTCTCGAAGTAACTAGTTTTTAGGTAGTTATTAGCTATAATATTTTAGCGTATCTAGGGCGTAGGTTAATACTAGAGACCCTAGCGAGCTAGAGCTAAGTTTAAACTAAAGCTAAAGAAGCTATCGATATTATATATAACTTTTAGCTCGACCGCCTAAGTCTACTCTTTATATAAATATATATACTTTAGATAAAGGTTTAATTCTCTCGAAGTTAGAAGTATACTATAAAATATAGCTTTCTACTATAAAGGAGTCGGTATCTACTATCGACTAAGACGATCTACTATAATTATCTCTAGTAACCTAAGAATAGATAGGAAAGAGCGGTTATTAAAGATCTTACCTAACCCGTAATAATTATCGCCAAAAGTATTTATATATTCCTAATATACTTTATCGTACTTATCTCGAGTATAGCTATAGAAGCCGCTTTATAGCTACTTAAATAACTTCTCGATAATATATTTATAAGCTAAGATTTATTCGTCCTTTTTACTATCCTCTAATTCGACTATATATTCTTAAGCGAACTCTAAAAGTAACGAAGCCCTATTATTACTCCTACTCTCTCGATCGTTTATAACTATATCTTTATTTATAGTACCTATAATAGGATCCTATATTACTATATCGCTATTTATATTATACTCGTACGTCCTTAATATATTCTTTTCTAAGTCTTCTATATTATCTTATACTATAGAGTACCTATTTTTAATACTACTCTTTTCTATATTATTCGCTAGTATCGGCCTAGGCGAGACTTTACTTAAAAGGCTATCTATAATATTATTACTATTTTCGAACGCTACTACTATAACTTTATTACCTAAAGTACTTTAGTAGTCGCTAGCGAGGCTACCTACTTCTAGTATAGGCGATAGTATCGAGTACGAATTAGATATAAACGGATTATTTATAGGAAGAGTTCGATAATATATCGATAAGTTTTATTAACTATAAGCGATAAAAGTAGACCGAGCTATAAATTATCGAAAGAAGCTTTCTATTATCTAGGATATATTCGTTTTTATACTTTAATATAGAGTATCGTACTTTTCGATTAGGAGCGAGTTTTACTATAGCTATATATTTTAAAAGTCTTACGTAAGCGTTATATCCTAGATCCGTAATCCGAGCTATATTAGTATTATAGCTATATCTTCTTCTATAGTTATAGTAAAATTAACGACTCGCTCTTTTTATTAAAGCTACTATAAGGACGGAGCGTCTCTAATAGTAGCTTTAGTAGCTTACTAGTATTAGCGTTCGTACTATCGTTATTAACGCTATCGATCGAGTATTCGACGCTAGTTTAGGGCGGAGTTATTACTTTCTCTAGAGAGAGGTCGACTACGTTTCGCTAGTATTTCTACGATCCTATAAGTAGTATAGAATAGTTATATATTAAAGTAACTTCCGAATCTAGTAGAGAATTCTTACGCTTTTAGTATACTAAGCCTAATTTATTACGAATTCTTACGCTTTTAGTATCCCGCGTCGTAACTATAATAAAGTCGATAACTTTAACGATATACTATATATCTAATATTCGTCGTAGTAATATAAACTTAACGTAGTTCTATTTTAAATTACTTTAAGTATCTACTTACGCCGAAAAAAATAGAATATCTACTTTTTAGTATTTAAACCTAAGTCTAAAACTCTACTCTAGACTAATTCTATATAGCTAGAGGTAGATAGAGCGGCGTATAAGCTCTTACGAGGAATACTAATATCGCCCTAGGTTCTAAAAGCTTACTAATTATCTTTATATAGAGCCTATAGATATAAAACGACTCTATACTCGAAAGTAAAGTAACGGTTTAACGAGGGCTTCTAGGAGAACGGAGAGTATAGATCGAAATAGATATATTAGACCTTATTAGATCGAATAAATATAAAGTCGTAGCTAGGTATTCCTAAGAGTCTATACGCTAACGAACGACACCTTTAGAGCCGATAGCCTACTCTGTTATTTATATCGGAACTCTAGCCAAGCCGAGTCCGATCCGCGTACCGAGAAACGTTAGGATCCGACAGCCGATGGGCGGATTTGCGGCAAGCCGACCAGGAGCCGAACGGCCGCCGTCAGCTGCCAATTCCGCAAACAGCCTTGCCGACCCTGCCATTCACTCACCCTCGCCTGGTGCTTGCATGTCATATTGGGCCTTGTTTAACTCCATGGGCGAGGTCTCAGCTGCTGCATCTCTTCCACTAGTACGCAACTAGCGACATGCCGTCGGTTTCGTGTACCGCGTCACAGAAAGACATGGGTAGCAGTGCCGTATACCGATAGCCCTGTTACCATCGCAAGATCAATATCGTGACCTCGAAGTATTATGCGGCAGCAAGCATACTGTTGAGTCCGGCTCCCTTCGGCGCCCGGACGAGTGTGGAGCATTCGGAAGTACCTTTCTCGAGGCACAGCCCTGCGAGACCCCCTCGCTTTGTTCGACATAACAGTCCAGGTAGGCATTATACCGTTTCCACTCAGAAAACACATCCTGACAGACTCTCTGCTTGGCTGTCTCATTTCTCTATCAGCCGAGGCGCGGCTCAGTTCTTCGGTTCCTGGCAACCCCCTGCTTTTGGAAACGTTTGATGCGTGCGGTCGTGCTCGCCCCATGAGAACGCAATCGTGGAGGTTCGGCCGAGTTCCATTATTCTAGTTGGACTGGACCAGACCTCCTTCCAAGTACACGCGCTGGGTGTACATCCCATCTCACGTGAAAGTAGGCCCTAACCGGCCCTCATGTGCATGCATGATTACGAATGGGCGCTAGAGGTGCCACAACCCGACTCCTGCCAAGCAATCAAGCTAGAGATTATGCATTTTCCGTACGATTTACCATGGTCCCGTTTGTGCTCGCGGGACGTCCGTTGCGGCGACATTGCCTATCCGTGGATAGCCTTCAGTCGCGCAAGGAACCACCGTTGTTATCGGCATAACGTTTTAGAGCCTCTAATACGACTGCATGGGCTTTGTCAGGCCGTGGCGTGTCTCATGGTATGACCACGCCTGTTTATAAAAAGGGGTACGAGGCACCTATCGGTTCACCCCAGCAGCCTCCAATTCCACCAGATCACCACACGTTCAAACCACCACGGCAGACCAGCGATCGTCGTCCCGGCGACACCATGCTCGGCAACATCTCTCTCGAAGAAGCGTACGAGTTGCCAGCCAGGGCAGATTCCAGTCGGGACCAAGCCGCCTTGTACAGTGATCCCAACGATCTCGAACGCTACCTTCGCCAGATCAAGTCCTTCACCGACGAACGCATCGAGCTGTCCGATAAACATGGCATTGGCTACACCATAATCTCTCTCACAGTTCCAGGGATTCAAGGAATCGTGGAGAAGAAGAGGCGAGTGGCTGGAGCCCAGAGGTGCGGCGTATACTGGCAGAATAGCTAACATCATTTCCCGCCAACAGTGCTGAACAAGAGGCAACGAACACCAATAATTTCGCTTTCGAGCAGATAAAAAATCACCGCAACAAAGTCGGGGCATTTGCCTGCCTCTCCATGTACGTGTAGCGATCCTCTCAAAAAATATCTTCGAACCATCGCTGACAGTCTATTCTCCCACCCAGGCACGATCCTCATCAGGCCGGCGAGGAACTTCGCCGCTGTGTCAATGAGCTTGAATTTCACGGCGCCTTGCTCAACGACGTCCAGCATGCCGGGCCTGACGGCGAGACTTACCTCTTCTTCGATCAACCCGAGTATGACGCTTTTTGGAAAGTTGCAGAAGAGCTAGGTGTCCCAATGTACATCCACCCTGCAGCTCCAGTGGGCCAACGATACGATGTGCTGTACAAGGAGCGAAAGTACCTCGTTGGTCCACCCTTGAGCTTCGCCAATGGCGTGTCTTTACACTTGCTGGGAATCATCACCAACGGCGTGTTTGACCGGTTCCCAAAGCTTCAGATCATCGTTGGTCACCTGGGCGAGCACATACCCTTCGACTTCTGGCGCATCAACCACTGGCTGGAAGATGTTGAAAGACTGCTCGCCGCTCGTGCGCATGATCGATTTTGCAAGAAAGATTTACTTTACTACTTCAAGAACAACATCTACATCACGACCAGCGGAAGCTTTAGCACTCCCACGCTCGAGTATCTGGTCAAGTACGTTGGCCATGACAGGCTGTCGTTCTCCGTCGACTATCCTTACGAGACGATCGAGAATGGCTGTGGATGGTGGGACGGAGATAAGAAGGAGATTGAAAAAGTGCTGGGCGGGGAGAAGGCATACTACGACGTCGGGAGAGAGAATGCGAAGAAGCTGTTCAAGGTGGATGGATACTACCAGTCTGATGCTTAGATCAAGGTAGACACATACGTTGGTACAGGTAGTGACTAAAATCGAGGATGGAATATCTCATGGTCCTCATTACAAGCACCTTCAGGCCAAGGATTGGCCAGCCGATGGTATTGATTACCACCCATGGCCACCATTCCAACCCCAGTGCCAACCACCACCGTTCTTGCCGGGACATCCAGCCAACGCTGAAGACTTCATCTTCTGGAAATCGGGTGTGCCGAGACCCGTCGCAGGATCCCATGCCACAGTGGCGTTCCAGCTGGCATACTACAGATCTGTTAGCAATGTCTACTCCCAGCGCTGCGGTTTCAATCTTACCGGAATAATACCACCCCCTGGAACTGGATTGCTGTTCTGGAGATCGACACCGTTACAGCCCACTGCAGCCCCTTGAGTGACGTCGTCGAGTGCAGAGGCAGAGCTGTACAACCATGGGTTCAGGAAGCCCAAGGCCGGCTTGCCGGCGCGGAAGCGTGCGTCCTATAGACGAAGTCCAGCGTCAGCAAATATCCTGCGACAATACCCGATATCCATCAATGATACTACTTACGTTCAGAAGTGCCACGATGGAGCTGAACACAGGAACAGCTGCGGATGTTCCACCGGAAAGAGCTCGGCTCCCGTTAACATAAATCAGGTAGCTGTCGATGATTAGCCTGGGCCATTCATATCATGTTTCGAGCATCTTACTAAGGATAAAGACTATGGGCAGCCACATCTGGAACTCCTCGCCCTTGGAAGTCGGTGTAGTTGTTGGCCTGATAGTATGCCTTCGCTTCCGGGTTGATATATGTTGACAGGTACTTGTTGACTGCATTCTTCTGGTAGAATGCAGTCGGGAAGTAACGGCTGAACCCAGATCCTGTTGCGTTCCATGCTACTTCTGGGTTGTAAGCTTGGGTGCCGCCGACAGCCTGTTGGTCGTTGTTAGCTGCGATGCCGACATCTCACATAAATTCGCTTCCTGTTCGACTCACCGTAACATAAGGGCATGTTCCTGGGAATTGAGGAGTGAACTCAGGATGGCCGTAAAGATTACCACCGCTGTTATCGCGACAGACTGCTCCAGTTCCTTCGTCTCCCGTCGAGAAGAGGACGCTACGGCCGCGAAGTCCCAGCAAGCCGGCCTGGTTGCAGATTCGAGCAGCATAGCGTTCTGGCACCTGTCAAAGACTGAGTCAGTATTAATTAACTTCATGAATATGAGATGACTGACCGTGTTCTCGTGATCGCCGTAGCTGTGGGATAACACATGTGGGATCTTGGAGTTTGGTTGGCGAAGTAGGTATGAAAAGTACTCCAAATACGGCTCGTTTGTATCAGCCGATGCATTTGGGCTGAGCAAATCCGGAACGAGAGGGCCACGACCTCCGGTAATGTATGTGTAGACAGGAAGGCCATCGACCAGACCAATGATATTCTGAACATCCAGGTTGGCCTCACCATCGGTCTCTGTCTGAGGATCTTGGTCGTTCACGCCGCCATTGATCAGCGCCAGAATCTCGAAGTCTTGCTGTGGGATATTGAACTCCTTCTCGAACAGATGCAAGTCCGAGTAACTGGGGCTCTCCTCCAAGAAATTGGCAAATGCGATATTGCTGCCAGATTTTGGATCTGCATCGTAGCCGACGGTGTTGTACAGCTGCTTCAGGCACTCCGGGGTAATGGCTTCATATGTTCGGTTCGTCCGACTAGAAACATATGTCGTCAAGCATGATGGCTGGAGATTGTCTCGCTTCGTGTGCTCCTCGAGCTCATCTCGCTTGGTCTGTTGTTCCAGGCTGTCCATTGGGATTCTTTCCGGGATGACAGAATGGGGCTGCATGCTGCCGAAGTATGTCGTCGGTGCAATCAGGTCAATGTGATCGGCCAGGTCGTCGGGAACAGAGTAAGCCTAGACGGGTCAGCAGCCTGCTCTGAGTTCGGCCGCTACATGTATGTACTGACTCTGGTCCTCAGCCGGGCTTCGCTTCCCCTCTTGTAGACTTGGAAATCGGCGTTCAACATGGACTTTGCATGTCCCACCGTGGTCTTGAACGAGACTGTTTGGCCATCGCTTTGAATGTCCTGTGTGCCGCTCCGTTGGAGCCAATTTCTCACCTGCAAGATGTCAGTCGTGCCTTGAATCCTTATCCTCCATCATCTCACTTTACTGTCCGATTCGTTGGATGGTCCGAACATGCCCCATTGGTGTCTCAAGTCTTGATATTGGCCATACCGTGGGCTGCAAGGCGTTGAAACTGCTGCCAGCTCGGCTTCTAGGCGGTCGAGATTTTGGTATTTCCTTGGCAGCTCTAGTCAGCTTCCCAATCAACGTTGTCGCCGGGAAACGCACAAGGCAGCGTGCAGTGTCACTGAGCTGTTATCGTGAACTCGTCCTACAGCGTTCCATCCGTGCGGAACGTGGGGCAGCTCTTCGAGGACGACAAGGCCCCATGCTGCCGCTGCAAACGACGCCAAAGACAAGAGCAACTGCATGGTTTCTGCTGAATTGAACCACAATTGTGAGGAGAAGAAGAAAATCTTGTGGGCGTGATGGACCGCATTTCAGCAGCTGCACAATCTACCACCAAGCTCCACCAAGCATTTCGCCATGCATTATCTTGATGATGTCAAGCTCGAATCGTTTGACGACTTGCTAGATTGGTGGCTTTGCCGTCTTCCGCTTGCTGGTGTTATACCGAAAGAGGAAGCTCTGGAGATGTTCCTGCATTAGGCGATGTAACACTGCGCAGGGCATGATAGATACCCCGCCGCTCGCTACCATTCTTTACGAGCGGTACCCTCTCATGGTCCGCTCAAATCACTCTTCGTAGAGATGCCCAGTTCTAAACAGATGGTGGCATGCGAGGACACTGATAACGAGGCTCGACAGGATTCTCCGCCAATCGGTGGTTCTTGAAAAATCGTGGCGCATTAGCAGCGCTTAAACCCGAGGAATGGTCACGAGGGCACTCGAATGAGTAGCAGGTTACTCTGGCCATGGACTGATGCCATGTCGAGCAGCTTCTATACCACCCGGAGCCAGAGTTCATTTCCAGAAGAATGACATATTGGCCATAGCCGCTCGCAGCCTTCCCAAAGATAAAGTTTCAGCTTGGGGACCCGGGAAGTGAGCACAGAAAACAAACGCCCCAGTCGCGACTCTATGCAATGCCTCCTTTGTGAGAATGCAGATAAAGTCTTCTTGACCTACACATGGTCTGGAGAGTCATTCCAAAATTCATGCTGGGGGCTTGACGTGAATCCTTCTGGATCAAATCCACGGTGACCCGATCCAGGCACCGAGATTTAGGAGTCAAGACTTGTCATGTTGTAGGGACTTTTTGCCACAAATCACTCGAGCCATCCAGTATAAAAGTGCTAAAACTATCTAAGATCTATGGAGTTCGAGAATCAAGCGCTCGCAACATGGCCTCTCTACTCACCATCCCAGAGGACGTTCGTCAGATCATTTACTACTACGTCTTCTGCACTCCGATGTGGGAACAACATCTCGAGAACTGCAAGCAACGCCAGGGCTCACATACGGAACGTAGACGCTGCTGTTTGATGTGCTATAGCATGGGGGATGATCGTCAATCATGCTACCTTCAGCCCTGCGTCATCGAATTGCAGAACAACTACTTCACCTTCCAAAGACAGATCTTTTGGTACGACCAAACCCGATATGCCTCCCAGGAAGGTCGATACCAGCGATGCTCTTTGTTATTGGCCTGCAGAGCATTGTATGCTTAAGCTTCCGCCTTCTTATATCAACATACGCCCATCTTTATCAACATCAAAAAAGACACCCGTGCTTGTCCATGCTGTGGAGGACTCAGAGGTTGGCACACCGTACTAGAGCCTCGCAAGTTCATCTCATTCCGAAACATACCGCTCTGGCGGTCCATGACCAAGCTCTGGGTTACGACCAAGACCACGCACGACCGAGATCCCAGGCCTATCACCTCTACAATCCGAAAGCTCGAGTCAATGGCGGATAATGTACGAGAGCATCCTGACAAAGATACAACATCGTGGTATATCGGTTCATGTAGTGTGTGCGGTAGAGGTGACGACGAGCGTATATTTGGGATTCCCTTCTCGTACGGATGCTATAGATACGAAAGACAGTTACGCTTTGTGCTAAAGAGTCCGGTTGAGGAGGATAATGATCGGAGGAAGGAAGTTGTGTCTCTAGTAGATGAATTCGTAGAACTCGTTAAATACTGAAACCATGAAGTTGAGATTTTCTGTACATTAACGTTGTCCATCTCGTTCCTATAATCAGACCTTTCGTTACCTACAGCAAGGCTAAGACTGCAATACAGAACTTGCAATTAGAAATGGATGAATGAGCACCAAAAATGACTTTTCAATTTCTCTTGAGTCCCGCATCTGAGTCTGACGGCGATCTAGCCGCAGTCACCCTCGTGTCTAGAGCTGAACTAAGTTCACATATGTGCAATAGACGCTGAGACATAGGCTGTGGCACATAGGTCACATAACAAAGAGAATTGCTTGCAAACGAAGTTAATCGGGTTCGTCTTAATGCTGCCACACCGGAAGCTTGACAGGTTTGGCGACTTTCAAGGTTTTCCTGAAGATAGGTTTCTTAGGGACTTTGCCAGGTCGACGCGGAAGCGAGGTGACCACCCACTACCTCATTTCAGCCACTGCATGTGTCTGTTAGAATGTTGAGAAGCTAGTAACGCTTTAGAAGAAGACATGTCTACAACGAAATGGAGACGGCTCATCTCGCACAATCGACAAAGGCGGAATTAGCCGCCGTCTTTCCAAACTAGGCCGCATTGACAAGGCTGTATCATTCCTTGCGCTTGGAATTCACAATTTATCATGCCACAAGGTGAGGCGTACCGGTACGTCCACTGATGAGTAAATTAACACCTGGGCGGGATTGGAGACTTCACTTCACTTCTGGACTTCCTCCCGCTTGTTCTGGCTCTTTAGCCCCTGGATCGTGGATCGTGGTCCTTTTCCTTTGAGTTGAGCATCCACTTGGCCGTGCTTTTTTCCACGATAGCAAATCTGTCCCGAAACATCCTGTTCTCCGACGAATGTACCTCGCCCAGTTCTGTCCAATGTACAAAGTGGGGACTTGGAAGTGGCAGATGGAGCAGCGAGTCTCAATTACTTGGCATTTCACATGGCTATCCCTTTACCGAGGAAGCGCATGCCGATAGTCGCATTCTCGAAGGCTACAAGATATCTTCAACTCCTGTTGGCTGCCGGTGATAGCCCTGTCTGGCTGTGCCATTGAACTCGGAGCAGAATCCCACCGTTAGCCTTTCTTCAGGCCTTAGCCTTGCCATTGTGCCCATGGTGGATCAGTAATCTCAGGGCTTGAAATAGGGACAGGCCCTTGCACCAAACAATTTTCGGCACACTTCATCCAAGGATCAGGCTACTTACCCTTGACGCTCCCAAGTCTGCGGCTGAATCGAAGCGCTCCACAGTCAGTCAGCAGCTGAGAAAGAACACTTTCGCAAACCTCGCAATCCGCGCAAACCTCTTCCGCGGACTCCTCGCCGACGCCAACTGACCAGAAACTGATTATATACCTATTTCCTGGCTGATCAACTTTGTGTCAGAAAATCACATACGCTTCGAATATGGCGGCTCCGATAGATGTCGACTATCTGGTCATCGGTGCCGGGGCAATGGGGATGGCGTTTGTGGACACGATGCTGACAGACTCCAACAAGACTTTCGCCATTGTGGACCGCGATACGAAACCAGGAGGTATGCCTCACCACAGTCCGCTCTTGCAAATTGACTTGCTGACTATGCAGGTCACTGGCCTCACGCATACCCTTTTGTAAGGCTCCATCAGCCAGCAGCTTATTACGGCGTCAACTCGACTCCACTGGGAAGCAGCGCGATCGACAGAGACGGCTGGAACAAAGGCCTCTATACGTTGGCATCTGGAAATGAAGTCAGCTCCTATTTTGAAAGGATCATGCAAGACAAGTTTCTTCCCTCTGGACGGGTCCAATATTTTCCAGAGCATGAGTACCTTGGCGACCGCGAGTTCCGCTCCAACAAGAACACAAAACTCTACAGGGCCTCTCACGTGTGCTGCATTGTAGATGCGACCTACAGTTGGACGGAAATACCCTCCGCTCGCCCGCCGCCCTACCACGTCGAGGATGGTATAGATGTTGTTGCGCCAAATGATCTGCCGAACAAGTTTCATTCAAGCCGTTTCGCCAACTTCACCGTGGTAGGAGCTGGGAAGACCGGAATCGACAGTGTTCTGTGGCTGCTTGGGAACAATGTTGAGACTGAGCGAATCACCTGGATCATGCCCCGTGATCCGTACTTCTTGGACCGTGAAGCATTTCAGCCAGGGCCGAAATTTGTTGCCTCTAAACAGGCTCGAACCGAAGGCTTGGGCAAGGCGGTCATGGGTTCCAAAACTATGGAGGACTTTGTAAAGCGACAGTTTGACAGCGGCCATGTTTTGCAATTCGATGAAGACGCCGCACCAACCACGTTTCACTGTTCAACAGTCTCGAAACTGGAATTGGAAGCACTGCGAAAGGTCAGCGACATCGTTCGCAAAGGCCGCATTGTTCAGGTCACGGAGAAAGAAGTGTCGTTGCAGAAGGGAAGCCACAAGCCCAAACCGAACAATCTCTACGTCGACTGCACGGCGAACGCCATTGCCAAGATGCCTCTTGTTCCGGTGTTCCAAGAGGGCAAGATCACTCTCCAGCCTGTTCGAACATGCCAGCAAACCTTCAGTGCAGCTTTCATCGCGCACGTGGAGACGACATACGAGAGCCGAGCGCTGAAAAACCAGCTATGCGGCCCTGTGCCAATGCCAGACGTACCAGCCGACTTTCCTCTGGCCATACTACTGACAAACCTCAATACCGTCAGATGGTACCAGCACCCCAAGACGTACCAGTGGATCCGAGACAGTCGCCTGAACATGTACGGAGATTTCTTGCCAGCTCCTCCTGAGGATCCAGAGAGGCATGCCTCATTCGCGGCGGGGTTGGCGGCGCCGACGGAGCAGCTGTCCGCGAAATTGCTCGAGCTTGTTCTCGATTCACCAAACAAGCATATAGCTCAGAAGATACTGAGCGAGAACCAGAACGCAGACAGTCGACTGTGAGGAGCACTACTTTACTGTTCGAGTCATTATTTATGATTGAATAATGCACGTTTGTGAATCAATGGCATTTTGAAGTTGGGATCTGAGGGTTTTCACTTTATAGAGCCAAGCCAGCCATGTGATTGCCAAGTCCCTGCCTTCTTTCCCACAAGGTTTTTTCGCGAAGTCATAATGAACTTAAACTATTGGCAAGTCTTGATTCTTTGTTGACAGCGCTGTACTCAGGGGAAGCCATGAAGCAATGTCGACCGACTATTAGTGATCGTGTCTGGATGGAGGGGTTGAGCAAACTTGGGGAGATACGGTCCCATCATAAAGCTTTTAGATAAGGGACTACAGACCGAGCACACCAATCATAGCTAGTGACAATACATACCAAGACACATCAATTGCTGTGGACCCCTGAGCCCCCAATAAGGAGGAAAGGAGTGGCGAAAAAATCCCGGTCTCCATTCTAGCAAACAACAACCTCATTCGCCTACCCAACCAGCCCATCCTTCCGGTCTGTATTTGCTTTTATTTGCAGCCAAAGAGCTGACTGTAGCGATGGTAGAGCCTCCCAGAATGTCGAAGATGGCAATGTCCGCATGGACCTCCTTTGCGAACCAGTTGCGGATCTCCACTGCCGCCAGCGAGTCCACCCCGTAACTATGCATGTGCTCACCCGCCTCGAGATCTTCCATGGACAGAGATAGCGTCGAAGCCAACTTGCGAGTCAACGCATCTTTGACCGCACTGGATGCGTCCGCAGCTGTAGCAGCGTTGCGAAACACGGCCGCAAAGTCGACTGCGTCTTGTTTTGCTCCTCCCAGGACCCCTTCCGCCACGCTATTTTCACGGGCTAGAGCAAGGTTCTGGAACATGGGCTTGCGTAGGTAGTAGGCAGAGCCGCTGTCGACGCGGATCCCTAGTGCAAGACCGACGGTGGTCTGACACAGCAGGTCATCCCTAGTCTTCGAGTTGGAGGGATCGCAATAGTAATCGAGCAGAGCGAACAGATTCTCCTCGGTGACAGGGGCATCTACCAGTCCCTTCCATCTCGACTGCAGATCGTTGTTTTCCGTCATGATGCCGACCGAGAAGAACGGCCCGAGGTCCAGGGACGTCGCCTTCTCTCCGTTTTTGACCCTGTAATGAGCCAGAGCATCTTGGTAGGCGTTGCCGGCCGCATAGTTAGCTTGTCCTTTGGAACCGCAGACCCCGGCCACCGAAGAGAACATGACGAAGAAATCCATTCCCGAAGGCAAAAAGCTGTGGAGGTTCCAAGAGCCGCCGACCTTCGACCTTGTTGCCGCTTCCCATGACTCAAAAGGCATGCTCTCAAACGCCGCGTCTCGAAGCACCATTGAGGCCTGGATTCAGCCTTTGATGGCCGGCATACTTTGCTGGCAGTCATGAAGTGCGGCCCTCAGCGCCTCTGCATCACCAACGTCGCACGCTGGCGTCTTGATCTGCACTCCTTTGGACGTGAGCTGGTCAATGAGTTGCTTTTCCTCGATCGTGCGGCCTCCCGAGCGCGAGAGAAGAACAAGGTGGCGAGCTCCACGATCAGCAAACCAGGTTGCCACGCTACGGCCAATGCCTCCCAGGCCACCAGAGATAACGTACGTTGCGTTCGAGTCAAAGTAAAAGCTCGGTCGGGTCTGCACTGAGGCCTGCGCTTTTGTGTTAGCTAGTTTTGAGAACATGCTCTGTGTGATAGGCTTACCTCAACCTGCTCATTCGGGTCCATGTTGACCACAATCTTACCAGACGTCTTGCCTGCTTGCATGACCCGAAACGCCTTCTCAATCTCGGACACACCGTAGACTTGTAGCGGCTCGACTGGAGCCAGGCTGCCGCACTGCACGACACATTGTGCTCGAATTGGAACATCTCGAGTTTGCCACGGGCCAAAATATCCTTCTTGCCAATTTCAATGAATCGTCCAAAAGGTGCAATACAGTCCCATGAGGCCGCAAGTCCCTCTCCGAAAAGGGAGTTGAAGACAGCGGCAACGCCCTGTCCATTCGTAAGGCGTTTGATGCCACGGGCGAACTCGATGTCTCGGCTGGAGAAAATATGGTCGTGGGGAATACCGTATCGTGTGATGAGTTGCTGCTTCTTCGATTCTGTACCGACAGTAGCGAAGATAGTGGCACCCAAGTGTCTTGCAACTTGGACGGCAGCTTGGCCAGTTCCTCCGGCGGCGGAGTGGATCAACACGGATTCTCCAGGGCGCAGCCTTGCGATATCATGAAGGCCACGCCACGCAGTGCAGTAATTCACGGGCAACGAGGCTGCAACAGCAAACGACATATCGTCCGGAATCTTGGCCGCACCGCGCCAGTTGATCCGAGCAAACGTCTTGTAGCTGTCAAAGCAGCACCCCGCTACACGATCGCCAGGTCTCAAGTCTTGTGTCTCCGATCCAACCCTGGTAATTATTCCGGCGACCTCGCAGCCGACTCTATCTTGATTCAGCCGCCCCAAGGCGATCAGGACATCGCGGAAGTTGAGACCCACGCTGCGTACATCAATCTCGACTTCTTCGGGAGCCAGAGTTTGGTCGAATTCGGTATCTTCGATAAAGTGCAATGTGTTCAACAGCCCAGGGGTCCCAATAGCAAGTCGTAGGGGTAGAGCGTCCTTCCATGGTCGGGTCACGACTTGTGATGGCAGCTCTCGACGGTAGATCTGCTCGTTGAGACCGGTGGATTCAATCAAGCGGCCGACGTTCATGACTCCATGGTGTTCCCTGAACTCGGTATCAACGAGAGTGCCCTGGGAAACGGCTTTCAGCAGACGGTCCACGTGGCCCATTTGATGATCGCTGAGAAGCCCGAGCTGTTGGTCATGCTCTTCAAGATCCAATGAGATGACTCGATTGCTGTCAGTTTCCGAGTTCAAGACACGAGCAATGCCGTCGATCAGTCGCAGAGATGGAGTTGCCGTGCCTGAAGTGTTTTCTTTCGTGATCCAGAGCACATTCGAGATTGATGTAGATGTCATTAAGGTACGAAGCGTGTCAAAGAGCTGCCGGTCGACGTTCTCCCAAACGGCTTTGCCAACTTCGAGCAGGGAGATTATGACAGTGCCGTCCGTGGGAGCAAGCTGCGGTAAATTGCTGACATTCACAGTCCGGATGGTGTTGTGGGCAGAGCGGCTAAGACTCGTCTTTGTTTGTGCAACCAGCTCTGCCTGATCGTCGGTGTGCAAAACGAGCGTCTGGGAGGTTTCGTTGGAGGGGGACGACTGAGGTACTGCACCAATTGCAGTCGTGCAGATAACGCTGAACTCATGGGAGCGAACGTCTTGATAGTCCTTCAAGACGACATCGCAGCCTGAGAACCCAGCCTTTCTTAGTGATGCGTCCCACGCATCTTCATCGATACAGGGGCTGCGCGACCTGAAGGGCTCCGAACTGAGCCACCAGCCTTCCAGTAGACCAAACGCAAAATTCGTTCTGAGACCATTCGGAGTTGTAATCTCCCATAAGATTAGTTTCCCGCCGCTGGAAAGGGTTAGATGATGCAGAAGCATAGCGATTTACAGTGGTCTTACGGTTTGAGCAGTTTCTTGCAGTTTGCCAAAGTCTTGTCGAGGTCTTCTGTTGCGTGCAATACCTGCATCACAGTCAGTTGGATGAGTCTATATCTCAATCGTGGCACTTGAACATACCGCAGCTGCGACAAGAATGTCGTAGCTTCCGCATTCGAAGCCTTGAGGCTCTGGGTCCGATTCGATGTTGAGTGTTTTGAATCTCATCTTAGACCCGTGATCGTGATACGTCTCTTGAGCGGCGCTGAAGAAAAAGGGCGATACGTCTGTGTAGTCAAAGGTTCCGTAGCGTGGGACACATTTCTCACCGTTGCCGTGGGTGGTCAAAGTCTTCATCAATTGTGTCGTCGTCGCTCCTGTGCCAGCCCCAACTTCCAAAATCTTGCACGCCGGATTTTTGTGGACAATGGCATCCAGGTAATGATTGAAGCGTGCCACACAAGGTACGGTGTTCCACTAGAAGATATTGTCAGATCGGTATCAGGGAGCCATATGCAGTCTTAAAACTCACCACCTCGTAATAGAAATCCTTCACCAGATCGCCTTGGAACAACAATGCAAGTGCATCTTCCTCGCCTGTGATTAGCTTCTCGTGAATGGTTCCTAATTGGGTGTAGAATATGCCTTGCTTGTTCTTCGAGGCCAGCTCCGATTCGATCTCCTTGACGTATGCTGCGTCGTCGAGTCTAGCCAAGAATTGGGACGGCAGTACCTTCGAGGCGTTGGCGTGGACCAGTTCTAACTTATGCTTCATCCAATCGAGATATGCAGCTGCGCGCTTCTTCACTGATAGGGTGGCAATTGTCTCGGGGGTGAGGCTATTCATCGTCCGTTTGATGTACGCGATCAGGAGGAAGTCCAACTTGTCGAAGAATTCGGACTCTGGGTCCTCTACTGGGACCGAATCATCGCACATGACCTGGACTTGAAGAGAGCTCGTGAGGTCAAGGTCCGGCTTCCAGTCGATATTGTGGCAAAGGTTGGTCGAAGTAGTCGCCTGTTCGTCGTCTGCCGCACCTATATCGTCTATGTCTGTCGTCTTGAATCCTTCCACTTCAACAAGGACCTCCAGGCACTTTTCGTCGAATGCTACGACAGTCGATGTCGTTTCTCTCCGTCCAACTCGATGAGTGTTGCCAAAGACGTTGACATGCTCTGCATCGGCGCAGCCTAGTCCCTGTGCCGCCACCCAAATCCTCTCGAAATGTGTAGGAATGGCCGTGGACATGCGCTTGGTACCGCCTGCTGTGTATGAAGCAAGTATACCTTGCAAGATGCAATCGAAGGTCGTCGGGTGAATGACATGATGCATGCCTGTCTCCGGAGTGCTGTAATAGTCCGACCATTTGAAAGTTCGAACTTTTGTGACAGTGCTGTCGTTCTAGTTGTGCCAGAGGGCAGTGATTGCTCTGAATGAAGGCCCATATCCATATCCATTAGCCACCATAGCATCGTATAGCTCGTCGATGTTTACTTGGCTTCCGCAAGCTTCACGTGCGATTTTGAAGTCCCTACGTCGTCCATCGCTCCATTTTTGACGTTCTTGGCCTTGATCGAGTTCTGTAGCTTCTGCGGCGTAGACGAGTTGGATGGAGCCATTGCAGTTGTCATGCCAGCCTCGTTCGTCGTTCGTGTACAGTCGAAAGTAATGTCAGCCGCTGTCTTTGTCGTTGCTGTTGCGCTGAGGCTGGACATACATATTGACTTCGATACCAGCAGAGGTAGCAGGTATCGTCAAAGCTGAATGGAATGTGGCGTTCTTGATAGTGAATCCGGACAGTTGCTTCGTCGGATCAGCGAGCTGTCTAGTCGCCTCGATGGCCATGGCTAGCATGCCGGCGGCTGGATAGAGGATGACTCCGTTGATCTAGACAGAACACATTAATATCAGCAGAGATATCTTACACCACCACTGGAGTACCATACCTTGTGCTCTTCGACCCAGGGAATATCCGCAACGCGGATGATATTACGCCACTTGGCTTCGAGGGGATTCCAGTCTGAGTCCGGCACGCCGACTAAGTCGTGTCTGGCCGTGTTGCGGAAGCGATAGTCTCTGCTGATCCTGCTCTCGTGCCAGTATGTCTTCGATTTGTTGAAGCTGTACTCGGGCAAGAAGCTGAGGGTCTTTTGGGTTGAAGCCTTTCCTGAGGTGACGTTGTTGAAACGATCCAGGCTAACCGCGGGTCCCAGACAGTGCAGTCGCCCAACAGCATCTGCTAGGCTGTCAAGTGCTGAGATCTTCCGTACCAGCATGGATGTGTAGCTGATAGCCTTGTTTCGATCAATGCTGTGCAAGATCTCCCCAATGGGTCCCTGCAATGCAGAGTGAGGTCCGATTTCGAGAAGATCAGTGACTGCCACCAGCTTGCGATGGCTTCCGTCGATCTTTTTGAATGCGGAAATGGGACTCCGTGACGTGAGCGTGGAGACTGCTTTGGAGAAAAGCACTGGCGAAACCATGTTCGCCACCCAGTATGCAGCAGTGCTCAGTTTTTCGATCGATACCCATGTCCCAGTAACAGAGGACACCATCTGAGGTGTTTTGCCTCTTGCGCGTACAGGCTGGCTCTGCAAGTCGCTCAAGGTAGACAGGTACTCGTCTGCTGCCTCAAGCATCTGGAATGAGTGATAGGCGACGTCGACCTTGAGCAAGCGTGCAAACACCTGGGCGCCGTCCAGCAAGCCTTTGAGATGGTCGACGTGGCTGCTTTCTCCTGAGATGGTCACGTTTTTGGGGCTGTTGACGCAAGCGACCACAAGGCGGCCGGATCCCATCTCAGCCGCAACCTCATTCAAATAAGGAACAGCCTCGGACTGGGAAAGTCCCACCGCCATCATTGCGCCTTTCGTCTTGCTGGCTCCAGAGAGCTTGCTCGCAAGTACACCGCGGTAGAAGGCCACTTTCAAGGCAGATCTGTGATTCAAAGCGCCCATGCAGTATCTAGTAATGAATTAGTCTGCCCATTATTGATATAAACAACTTGAAAACTTACGCCGCTGCAATCTCGCCCGACGAGTGACCAACCAGGGTCGTGGCTTCCACTTCGAGGCTGTGCATCAAGTCAACCTGAGCAATCTGCAAGGCTGTACGTGCTGGCTGGCTATAAAGTGCCTTGTTCACATTGGTGCCTTTTTCGCTCTTTAAAAGCTCGCCTGGAAGGATTAGCGGGGAACGGAAAATCGATTACGGCCTCTTTCTTACCAAGGAGGTCCCACGAGGCCCCAAAGTCTTTCAAGATCTCACTTGACCTGATCAGACTGTTCTGATACACTGGGAAGGAGGACATGAGCTCCCTCCCCATTGCATACCCTTGACTTCCTTGCTGCAACAGTTGTCAGCGCTACATTCTCAGTGTTCTGGAAATGGATCGACTCACTCCAGTGAAGACAAAGCCGAGCACTGGGTTTGAATTTGCCTTCAAAGGCCCTGTCATTCGGTCTATCAGGGCGTTGTCGATGTACTTGGGTAAATCATGCCGTGGAATGGCCAACGTCTCGAAGTGCGTTTGCCAGAGTGATTTGGTCCGGCCAATTCCTGCCTCATCTGCTGTGGACCATACAAGGACTTTCGGGTGCGTCGTAGCCTGACCCGCATCTGTTGGGTGGTTTGTTTAGCTGTTAGCAAGAGTGGTACTGCCCTCATCCAGACCCCTTTGGCCACTGAATGCCATATCGAGGCTCAGCCCATGATTCGGAGGTTTGACTGCAGTGTTGTGGATCCCTGTGAGGCCATTCAAACGGAGAAAATTGTAGGCGTCATCTAGAATTATGTGGCTATTGGCGCCTCCAAAGCCAAAGGACGCTACAGATGCCCTTCGTAGGCCTTTGGTGGGCCAAGGGGTGGCATCTTCAGCAACTTTGATGTTGAGAAAGTCGGCGTCGATTTTGGGATTCAGCCGTTCAAAGTTGCTGTTTGACGGAATAATACCAGCTTCCAGAGCAAGAATGGTCTTGATGACTCCTGCGACACCACTTGCCCCCTCAAGATGCCTAATGTTAGACTTAACCGAGCCTCTGGTAACAAGCGGTCAGCTATAAGTCGTGGGCAGCGATGCATCATCCTGACAAAGTGCAACATACATGTAAAGCGGTGCTTCTGGGGATCGAAACTGTCGAAAGGATGCACCTATCGCACTTGCTTCTATAGCGTCCCCAACGGGTGTGCCTGTCAAAAGTAAGCGACGGTCCTAATGTGCCATCGAACTTAGACTGACCTGTCCCATGAGCTTCGAAGTATCTAGTTTCCGACATGGCAAGTCCAGCTTTCGCATACGTGTCCATGATCAGGCTCTCCTGAGCGAGCTTGCTGGGTTGGGTTAATGTAGGTGTTCTTCCGTCCTGGTTAGAGCCTGAAGAACGAATGACAGCACGTATGGTGTCTCCAGCAACAATTGCATCTGCAAGTGGCTTGACCGCTAACACACCAAAACCCTCTCCTCGAGCGTAGCCGTTGGCACGGTGGTCGAAGCTATAGCATCTACTGTCCTTGCCGAGCATACCGAGATTGTCTAGCGCCAGGCCAGACTCAGGGGTCAGGATGATGTTACTGCCGCATGCAAGGCCCTGCACCACGTATCAGCATTAGGCAGACCAGGTTCATTCAATAAGCTTACCATGTTCGAATCTCCAGCCCATATCGACTGGCAGACCATGTCCAGGGCTATCAAGCTACTGGACCAAGCAGTATCAATGTTGGCGCTGGGTCCCGTCGAGTTGAAAAACCAACTGACTCGATTGGCTTGCATATTGGTTGCAGTGCCCGTAGCGTGGTACTTGGCCGGTATGTGTGGATCCTTGTGCAGCATGGTCGCGTAGTCAATGGAGAACGAGCCAGTGAAGACACACGTCTTGGTACCTGTGATACGCTCCAGGGGAATACCGGCATTCTCAATGGCTCGATATGCCGTTTCTAGAGTCAGGCGCTGGACTGGATCCATGGCTTCGGCTTCGGCAGCACCGATGGAGAAGAATGGTGCGTCGAAAGCACTGACATCTCCATCTATGAAGTGTCCGCCCTGTATAGAGAGACTATCGACTCGATTCACGTCGGGGTGATGATGAGCAGTGCTGGAAAATCGATCAGCTGGAATCTCTTTCGAAGCGCATCGTTTCTCCAGCATCATTTTCCAAAACTCATGCGCATCGGTAGCCTCAGACGGGAACCTGAACGACATTCCCACCACGGCCAAAGGTGGCAAATGACTGAAGTGCTCATCGTGGGATTCTGCGATAGAGCCCATGATGTGAGTAGTGGTATCGCCTTTTTCGTGAGCGAGGAGGAAATGTGATTGAGAAACGCGTGTTTAATCTAAGACTTAGCGAGTTGAGATCACGTCTGACAGTGGACGAGCGATTGAACTTATAGTTCACTCATATTTCTTGACTAGTTGCTATCTTTCAGCTCCCCATAATGTCCATCAGCCCAATGCAAGCCCCTATCACGCCAGTCGCGAAGCCATTCCATGGGCACGCACATTTTCTCGTACTTTTCCACCAACAACTGCAGCGGTAGAAGGATCAGGCCATTGATGCAACCCAAACTTTGGCGATATCAGTATCAAAGACGTTGCATGTGGGAGGGTGCTTGGCGATAATTCCATTCACCGGTTATCATCACACCATCGTAGAATTGTAGACCGTGCCATCAAGCGAAGGAGTCAGGCTGAGCACTTCAGCTCTGAACTTTTATGATGCTAAGTCTAGTCGAGTCTGGAATAGAACTACTTGTAATCTAATATTTGTCTAGCTCTGGCCGCGAAGCTCAGAACAAGGCACTTTTGGCAGTACCATAATTCGAAAAAGTGAAAAGAAGAGACTGAGCTCTTTGCTATGGCCGTCCTTCCCTATCTTTGGAGCAGGAGTGAGCTGAGTTCGCATTGTGAAGGAACTTAATTCCCAACACGCCGAAGGTAGAATTAGCACGCCACCAACTTACTCGTCCATCGATACGGTCAGATTGATCCTCACAGCTACAGAGAGTTCGTTGAGTCGTAGCCAAGCACTCAATCTTAGCAACATAATGAAGGCCTAGAATCATGTGCAACAGGACATGCATGTCCAACGTCCGACCGCCCAGCCTCAATATGTGCGAAGGATGCGTGCCTATCGGGGACCGAATAACCATGTCAGCCTGGCCCCTAATGCAGCGATAAGCTGTGCAGCCTTCACCACTGAAAGCAGGTCAGTCAAGGCGTATTATTCTCGACCGAGAGTTGCCGAACAATTGCATTCCCGTGAAAAAATGTGAGTTCTTTATCCCTCTTCGCTGGAGGATGGGGGTACTCGTTGTGCAAAGTTCACATGGCTAGCCTGACATTCGCCCAGCCACTTGCTCGTAATCGTACATACTGCATGTGCAACGAGATGTTACTCCATTTCTAGGCGACTAAGCTGTTTTGATAGTCGTGAGAATTGCCCTGCGTGCACCGCTACAAGTAGGCAGTCCAGTGAAACCTATCAAACGTGGTTGCCATGTTGTGTTTTGATCCTGGCTCGTGGGGCATAGTCAGTTCATCAATAGTATAGGCACTGGTGTTAGAACATGCGTCGCCCTTCCCGACTTGCCCACTCGGAGCTATGTCGTTTGAGCATGCGGTGTGACACCTACTTTATGCGAGATCTTTCAGCTCTTCCAGCCTGTGATCTCGGCCGGAAGCCCAGAGCGCCAAAGCTGAGATTGTGTAACTACATTGATTCACCGACATCTGCAAAAACAGCATTGGTTCACATTACTGTGTTGGTGCTCGAACGCTCGGGGATTCTCAACTTTTCTCTACTTCAAGTCGCCATCTTATCAACCCTTCAAGGCGGCTACTGAGGCTTCTATACTGAATGCTCCATGCCGTACTGTCCCTCCCACTTTCTGCCCGACGTCGTCCCCGTCCTCATCACCACAATGAGGTATCTATGGTCAGTCTCAATCAATTTATCTCAAACGCTGCAAGTGCTAATTCAACATCTTCAGTCTTCATGGAAGAGGCACCAACGCCAAGGTAAGAACAGACCGGGCTGCTGGTGGATATTCAAGAGCTTACACATAGCCATGCAGATCTTCGAGATGCAGACGAGTACGTGGAAAGATCTTGACTTGTAGAGAATACCGTACTTACGCTGCCTAAACGCACTTCGTTACGAGCTTGCAGATCAGCACGAATATGACTTTCTTGAAGGCACAATGCCGTGGGAACTAGACCCAGGTACGAATCGCGCGGATCATAGCACCTTGCCGACGTCGCTGACACTACTTTGCAACAAGACTTGGGGAATTTAGTGTCCGAAAACGACGAAACTTTCGCTCTGTTCGACGAAAACAATCCACTGACCGCGCTGACTGCGGTGGATCAATTGAACTCCTTCGTTGAAGTGGAAGGGCCGTACGACGGGGTCATTGCATTCAGGCAGGCTGTGGGCGTTGTTGCTACATGGATGGCCTCCCAAGCTCGGCAAAAGAAGCCGTCGTTCAAATGTTCAGTGTTTCTCTCTGGTGCCGCACCAGCCGTGGACTATAATGCGTTGCAAAAAGGCATCTTTGTTCAACTCGATCCAAGGGCATTGGACTGTCGCATTGAAGTTCCGACTGCCCACATCTGGGGCACGAACGACCAGTGGAAAGATGCCGCCGAAGCGACTAGCCAGCTGTGTCGTGCAGATGTTCGATCGGCCCTTGTCCATCAGGGAGGACATGAAGTGCCCGGGGTGGGATCAAAAGAGGCACTGCACGAGACGCTCAACATGATTCGGAGGGCGATTCTGCAATCACACGCGGCAGGCTGAGAGGACGGGTGAGGGCCTAGAAGGGTGTATTTGTTTCTGCCAGAAAGATATGGCTTGCTTGAAGTTCAACCTATCAGCTAAAGGGTATGCATTCATCCATAGAAAATGAAATGCGTAGTCTTGCAACCCAGAAATTGGCGCCTGAAGAGTCGTATGAGAATAGAATGCTTGTGATGCGGAATCCTGCCAGACTCGATCGTTGGTGAAGATGATGGTAGTGTTAAATTTCTACAGATTTCAACATTGGACTGTGCTGATGAGAGGAACAACATGATTGGATTAACCTCTGGGAGGCATGTGTGTTCTTTTCATTCGCCTCTCCCGGCTTTAGCCACTGAACAGCGATAACTTCTCGCATACACCGCGGTCACACCAGGGCTCCTTCTTTGCTCAGTCGAAGCGGTCTATTCTTCCACATGAGAAGCACAGCTAGAATATGTGCAGCCGAGAACCCAACGGTCACTCGCATTTGGAGGTTGTACGCCTCGCCATAGATCTCGCGGACTCTGAGCTGCGTGTCAAGCGGCAGGTTGATGATGCCTCGGGCAGATTCCAAGACCGATGCAAGTTGCTCACCAGATAAGACGCCCGGGAGGTGCGATCTTACGTGACTGTTCAACACGCTGTTTGCCACGGCGACGCGAACTGCACCTCCCAGCATCCGTAGTTGCAATGTCGATCCAATTGCTAGAGCTGTAGAATGTCAGTGGGTCTCCATTGCACGACGTGAGATTGACTTCACGAACCTTGATCGTCTTTATCGACCACGATTGGCGCCATCATGTACAACGAACCGATCGATGCTCCTGTTCCCAAGCCTGCGACAACGCTGTATCCATACTGGCCCGCCCAAACGGCCAATGTGTTCGGCACCGTGGATAGAAGAGCGAAACCTGCAGTCTGCAACACGATGCCAAGCAGCAGAACGAACATGAAGGGGATCCGTAGTTTCCCGATCAACACAGTAGACATGACGATTCCCACCGGGCTGGTGACGGCGTATGGCAACAATCGAATTCCAGCATGGAGAGAAGAGCTGGCATTCACGATTTGGTACCGTTGGGGAAGCTCCGTTACTGCAATCGTCAAAGGTGCCCCTGACAAAAGGCATCCACTAGATAGAGACCACGTGAGTTCATGAGATACGGAATACACTGCAGCACTTACAGTAGCACACCCATCCATATGCGATTGCTGAAGAAGTGCCATGGGAACATTGGCTGCAGTCGTGAACTCGGCCGACTTGCAAAGCGTTCCCAGAGCAAGAAAGCTATCCAGAGCAGGCCAGAGATTACGAAGAACGAAATGATCGCCGCCGATTCCCACGGAAAGCGCACATTGCCTTCTTGAAGGGCTGCCAGGAGCAAGATCGAAGCCTAGAGGAGAATGAACGCTCCAAGAATATCTGCATTCTTGAAGAAAGCTGTGTCCAATGAATACCAGGGCTTTCGTGTTGCCTTTGGCTAGGGTTCGCTGTGGTTCGGCAAGCGAGAGGGTATGATGACAATGATAATGAGCAGAGCAACAACACCGGCCGGAAGACTATGCGAGTAGTAGTCATTAGCATTTGGAAGCAATTTCAATCTTGCGAAAACTCACTTCAAGTAGAAGACCCAACGCCAGTTATCTGGATCGGTCTCGTTGATGCCCCCTCCGACTAAAGGCCCGAGTATCATGCCCAATGACATTATCGACGAGGCAATGGATGTGATTTCCTTATACCGAGATGCGGGTACCATCTGTATGAATTCAATAGTGCCCACAGCGTAAAGACCCGCTCCGCCTATGCCATGAAAACAACCATAGAGCTGATCAGGGCCGGTCTGAGACCCACAAGGTCGCTGAATTTTGACCAAAGCATGAGAAAGCCTGTTTTCAGTCAGAACCTGGCACAGCTAGCAAAGAATGAGCACCGACCAGTATAAGTCAAGAGGTACGCCGTAATGATCCAGCTACTTTGCTCGAAGCCATCCAGATCATTAGATATCGATATCAGCGACGTGCTGATGACGGAAACTTCAAGAGCAGGTAGAAACACACTCAACCCCAGCCTTGTCGGTTGATGAGCATTAGCGCGCTGGCAACAATTGTGGAAAAACTTGATCAACTCACCCAATTCCGGCCACATATAATCTCCATCCAGTGAGATACCGACCAGATGTGTCTGATTGTCAGGATCGACGCCGAGTGTCGAGTTGTTTTCTCTACGAGCTGCCTCAAGTCTGGTAGTGAGATGCTCGCTGGAGGCCTCCAATTCGTACGATGCATCTCCAACATGGGCGTGGTCGGAACCTTGCCTCAGCGATTGACACAGATGTCCAATAGTCTGCTCATCGGTGGTGTCGATGGTATTCAGGCTGTCTCGACTGGCTGCGAAGCCGACATGCGGGTCCTCGCTTTGGACAGTCGGGACTGCCATGGCGATGGGTAGCGTTCTGTTCAGCGGTTCTGCCCGATTAGATTGTACAAGATACACAACGCATTAACACGACCATCTCTGGAATGATATGCAGCTGCTGGACCTCCCTCTGGATCGTCTCCGGTACAATTCTCGAGTGTATCGGCGTCGGATCAGTGCAGGCCTCAAGCTGAGGCCAAGGGGCTTGCACAGAGAGTTCTCTTCGGCCGTAAGATGGCTTTGTTCGCTATTGTCTCGCTGTGCCCAGTCTCCGATCAAGCCCGCCGAGCTTTGTTGTCTCGGACAAGTTCGTCCTGCAGGAAATGCGGCTGGCATACCGGTGAACCGCCAAGCTGTAGCCAGGGAATTTTGTCGTGCAAGATTGGATCAAGATGCAGCGACCGAATCAGCGTTGCTGGGTGATCTCAGCTGTGCAACGAGCCGCAGATACGCTCGGGCAGCTGCTGTTGTGTGACAACGTGGCTGTTGGCAAACAAAGCCTTGTACGACACAACGAACCACACCATCGGGTCCGAGCTGAGCGCCAGCCGCGGGCGGCCTTGCTTCATTGGCATGTGATCACCTCGCACAAACGAGATTGTGGTTGAGTACCTTTTTGGGTCCTCGATCTCTCAGCAAGACGACTTCGAGCACCGCTGGCGATGTCAAGTCCATTAGACTCCATGACAGCGCTCTCCAGTGCCGTTTACTTTCACCAGCCTCCAAATGATTCCACCTCTTCCAGAAGAAACGACTCTTCGCCAAAGCTCGTTCTCCTCCTCGGCTGGGTCGCAGCTCGAGATGCACATCTCGCAAAGTACATCGATGAATACCGACAGATCTGTCCGGCCGCTTGCATCCTGCTGGTCAAAGCCGAGCTGGCAGTGATGGCTTCTGCGTATGTGGCACGCAGGAACATTGCCGAAGCGATTCCAGTCATACGAGAGATCGTCGGAGAGGCAGAGTCGTCCAATCCGGAAACACGCAAGAACCCTCAACTCCTGGTCCATTTGTTCTCCAACGGCGGCTCTTGCATGCTCTCGACGCTCTACGACGTATACGCTGAGAAGTCTTCGACGTCGTTGCCACAGACAAAGTCGATGCTGGATAGGGGATCAGCATTTCGAGTTCTTCCTCTTCACATCACCATCTTCGACTCGACACCATCGCTCCAGTACTCGCACAGCAAGATTGTTGCGAGCGTCATGGCGGGCATTCCACGTGGTGCCTTGCAGATTGTCGCCTGCCCGGTCATTCAGCTGCTGAGCCTTTTCTGGCTGGTCAGTATCCACGTGTTCCGGAAGCGTGATGAGATGGCCTATTGGGCTTCTTCCCACAACGATACAAGCAAAGTCCACGAGGTGCGAAGAGTTTACGTCTACAGCAATGCCGATAAGATGGTTGCATATGGCGACGTCGAGGCGCACGCCCGTTGTGCCGAACATCGTGGATTCTCAACCACCTTGGAGCATTTCTCGGGAAGCCCCCATGTTGCGCATGCGAAGAGCGATACAGAGAGATACTGGCGAATAGTGAAAGAGGCGTGGTCGGAAAGGTTGAAGGCAAAGGCACCTTCTCCTCGAATTTGAGTGGCAGGCGAAAGGTTCGCCTATGGACAGATGGCGTGAAATAAGGAGTATTGCTCTCGTGCTGTCATCTGCCTTGAAAGATGTCAGTCCAGCGGCTGCTCTCTACGATGCCAGTCGAATAAATTTACCATAGACACTGCCTTTCGAGATTTCATTCCAATGAACATCATGGTAAGCTGTATGAAGGGTTGGTATTGTATCGTATCTACGATTCACTCACCGTTCGATCCTTCGTTACTCAATCTGGTCGAATTAGGAAGGTCCGATAAATTTTCTCGGCCCGGCCGTCGGCAGCTCCACCGACATGCATCACGCAAGATACATTGATAGGGCGTCAGCAGAAGCTTTCTCAACAAGCTCACTCTTGTGACTACACCTCCGATTTTCTCGATTTCTACACATAGATTGTGGTGAGACAGCATACTAAGGGTCTGTCGAAAGTCTGCTTCGTATCACATGCGGTTTTCGTCCTCTTGAAATGGAAACCGAAAATGAGTCCAAAAGTAGCTCGTGGCGGGCGTCCAAAACACTTCTGGTAGTCACGGCGACATTGGGTCTTTGTGAGTTTACTTTCTGCGAACAGGAGTCCAGACCTTGGCTAACATTTGCTGAACTTAGTCACGGGTATGCTTCTCAATGACATAACCATAGTCCTCTGACGATGAACATTAGAAAACTTTCTGTACGGATTCGTGGTCCCGATCCTGCCATACATGATTGAAGTTCGGCTGAAGCTGGACCCATCATATACCCAGCGCCTCACGACGGAGCTATTGTTTATTATGGGATTGATTTCCATGCCAGCCGCTCCAATCATCGGCCATCTAGCAGACAAGACCACCAGCAGGAAAATTCCCTTGATCATCTCACTCATCGGGTGCACTATTGGAGTGAGACTTGGAAGAGGCTGCGTTTGAATGTCCGTGAACTCTGGCTGACCCACAATCTTTCTCGTACAGACACTTCTAGTGGCAACAACTCCTAATCTATATGCGGTCTACGCTGGCCGTATTCTCCAAGGCATCGCTGGTACAGGAGCCTGGATCGTTGGTATGAAAGTCCCATTTCTATTCGACGGGCTACATTAACATCGCCACAGGCTTCGCCATGCTTACGGATGCTGCCGGTTCAAAGCATCTGGGCAAAGCTTTGGGTTCGGCCGGCTCCTTCATCACTGCTGGCGTATTGACTGGACCCGTTGTCTCTGGGGCACTCCTGCAATGGACGAACTACTGGACGGCATGGGCTGCCCCTCTGGCTCTTCTCGGTCTATGCTTCATCGCCCGGTTTGCTATGCTTGAGGAGACTACAACAAAAGAAATCAAGCCATCGACGGTGGATGACGGAGCCGTCGACGAAACAGCTCCACTTATTGCGGCAGACTCTAGCAATGGCGGCCAGACGATACACGGCAACGAGGAATCCAAGCAAGCTCCATCACGCGGCTTCTACAGCGTTATGTTCAGCATAGGGAGTACGTATGCCGCTTTGCTCAACGTCACAGCCTTTTCCATGATCATATCCGGTTTCGATACTACGTTGCCTGTCCATCTGTAAGTGTGAAGGAGAGAGCCTTCATGTGAGAGATGTTGGAATAATGGCTGACACCCGGCAGTCGAGATGAGTTTGGCTGGAGGCCAGCACCCATAGGCTCGATATTTCTAGGTATTCAGGTACCGAGTATGGTATGTGTGACGGATGAAACCATAATCTGTGGCATGGAGGGGAATGGGCTGATTTTTCTTTTCTTGGGCAGATAATGGCGCCCATGGTTGGATGGCTACGAGATCGAATTGGCCTCCGTTGGCCAACCGCCTTGGGATGGCTCTGCTCCGCTCCCTTATTCTGGTTTCTTGGGGTGCCTAGTCAAGACAATTTTCTCGGGGTCGGGGCGGGAACCAAAGGCCAAGCAGCTTTCGTAGCGACTATCATTGCGCTGGGCATTATCTGGTCGTTCGTGCGTGGAGGTAAGCGTTTTGTGTTATGACAATGTCTCGAAATAGTACTGATATTCTCATAGCTGGGACCTTCCAACTTACCAGTAAGTCGATATAAGATTCAACTGATATCCAAGGCATCGTCTAACACTCTTCTCATTGTAGCCACCATGCACGAGCTTAAGGAGAAGGATCCCAACGTGTTCGGCCCAGGCGGAGCGTCGTCGAGAGTATTTTCGCTCACCGAGACCTCGTTCGCCCTTGGACTCGTACTAGGGCCGCTCGTGACAGGCGCTCTGGCAGACACAGTAGGGTTCTATTGGGCTACTACTGCTCTCGGTAAGTAGCTTATATGTGTTCGAGTTCTCCCGCTAACTTTCAATCATTAGCCGTGCTGTCTGGCCTCGCTTCAATTTCATCGTGGATCTTCTTCACCCACAAGGCACCTATCAAAGAGGCAGAAGGGGAAGAAGAATCTTGAAGAGATTCAAGATTGCTAATTGAAGTATGTCTGGCCCGTCTGCATGCTCTGCGTAGCGTAGAACGGTGCGTTACTATCTGTGCAAATATTATGAAGGTAGGTCTACACCTTGATACTGTTACAGAAAAGCTACTTAACAACTGTCCAGAATTCGATCAGTGGCAGCAGCTAGAGTTCGAGTAATGGGGTTATAATTTGTACAATTCAGCAAGTCACAGCCTCGCCATTGTTCCAAAGCCTGTACTCTGTACGATGGAGGTTTCACAAGGTAAGCATAAGCCCCTCCCCGCAGAGCTTGGATCTGGGGGGAGAGTCGAGAGGTAAGATGTTCGGGGTCTCGAGTTCGCTATGTTCTATTGGTAGCAGAAGAAACGCGGATGTTCGACATAGCATCCAGAGAGGATTCCCGCCCGACTATATGCAGAACAACAACGAGGCACATAGTCCAGAAAACGGTGGCTGGGAAACAACTTCATGGCTTGCTCGGACTTGTTGCCTGCACGGCAGAGAATTGAAGTCTCTGGAAATGGATGATTTTAGATCGAACTTGATACATTGTATATCATGCTGTCATCAGACTCATCGCCCAAGTTCTCTCATCCATGTTCTCTCCTCTCAAATTCGCTGGTAGTGAGACTCGGCCTTTCCATCGTGCTTCTTCTCGTGGGCTTTGTCTGAGACGTAGTCTTTGGCTGCAGATGCGCTGTCACATGAATGGTCAGCTGTAAGCTCTCAAATCTGTGAGGATTGTCTAATGACGCACCGCGTGCGAAGCGGTGCATTGCTATCCTTTGCCACAGCCTTGTTGGCTTCTGCTGAGGCTCCAGAAGTCGCTTGTTGAGCCGACTCCTTGATATAGTTGGCGCCTATCGTCTCGCATCAGATCGGGCGGCCAGTCGAGGTCAGCGTTTTGCTCACCCTGCTTAATGGATTCCATCTTGGAAGGATTAAGTAGAATTTGAGCGTCTGGTGTGATTATGAAGGGACAGTCTTGACCTTAGCACTTCCTCAGAAAAGTGACGCTCTTATAAAGCTCTACTGTGGCTTGAGTGCCACAAGCCCAAGGCTGTCAGCCTGCGTCACTGCACAGCAGCCAGCGAACTCTAACCCAAAACAAGCCATTGCGTTGCAAGGAACTTGTTTTACCGCGCCTTGAAGAAATAGGCCCTGCATTTACATCCTCGATTTACAAAGATAAGATCTATCGCCCTAGCCGATTGTCGTTGACGATACCGATCTGGAGCAATGCAGAAGCCGTGCCGGTTCTCGCGCTGATCGTATTGGAACTGCGCTTGATCGACGGTCAAGACCGATGGGAGGTAGAGTGACTCTCCAATTCCAGCACTCCATACCGTGGAGGAAGTGTTGGGTGGGCTGCCGCCGTAGGCAAGATTGTGAAGAATGACACTTCCTCCTCCGATTGAAGTGCCGAAGATGGTCACTCGTGTGGGATCGCCGCCAAATGACGAGATATGATCTTGGACCCATTGAATTGCAGCTAGTTGGTCGTGGAAGCCGCCATTGAGACTCCCTTCTTGCTGAAGATCTGTACTGGCAAGGAAGCCGTATGGTCCGACACGGTAGTTGAAAGTCACCACGATCAGGTTGCCGCCAGAGGCCTCGATGAGTCCAGTTCCGTTATAGTTGGGGTTGTAGTCTTGCACATAGCCTCCGCCTTGGATCCATAGCATCACCGGTAGTCCACCATTGTCGTTGCTGGTGGCATTCGCTGGTGCGTAAACGTCGATATTCAGGCAATCCTCCGAATACTCCAATGGTGGAGTAGGCGTTGCAGGGTTTGTAACGCCGAAGCACACTGCGCCGTGCTACTTACGTGTTAGACGCAGGGTCGACATACAGTATGATAATCTTACTTGAGTGGCATCGACAAGGTCAGTCTCACGAAGTGGAGGCTGTGGTAGCCGGAATCGTTGTTCGCCAAGGGGAGGCGCAGCATATCTGGGAGTTCATCAGTCATTGACATTGCAGCATTAAGAGATGTCAATCTCACCTCATGCCCAAGAAGTTATTGATGCCACTTGATGTCGAGTATCCGGCATAGCTGGCATAGCTCAGGTCTACACGAGCTGTGTTATTCGACGATTCCCTGATGACAGGCTTTCCAGACACAAGACTGGGCGCTAGGGTGGTGATAGCCAGTAGGAGCTGGCTCCAGACGGCTATGGAAGTCATGATTAGAACAAACAATATGCACGGCACTCGATGTAGGATCTGACCTGCAGGACTGGGTGCTGTGAGTCGGTCTTTTATTGCTCCTAAGGCTGTGAGTGATGAGCCTCAGCCCAATGGCGCTCGGTCGCTCAGCTTCGCTCTTGCTGACAGATAGACATTAGATCAGCCTCTCACGATGATGCGCAAGCGGCGAATGAGCCATGTTCTCAAACTTCTTACAAACCTCCGCACCAACCTCCGCACCCCCGCTCTCAAGGAGACAGCACAATGTGAGGCGTGTATGCCCAATTTCTCAGCAGCTAGACAATGAATGCATCTATTGGTACAACTGCTGAACACTTTAAACGTCGTAATTCCCCATGCGGTTGAAGGTATGGCCATCATCTCGAGCCTGCTTCCTTCAGCCTGATGGGGGAGAACATGTATGGCGTGTCTCAGTATGGGTAGGAATGCAAAAGGATCACTGTGGCTTGCTTCAGTAAGAAACTCTGAGACCAGGGCTTTTCGTTAAACTTCTGGCAGTCGAGTATTGAGAAGAATGTGCAAAAGGCTGTTAGCCCTATCTTTGCCCTCGAGACGGAGGATGCGGACGTTTCGCGGTAGAACTACTCGGCAACGGCGTGGAGCGGCGGGTCTTGGATCCTCCGAGCTGCCAATCTCCGTCCCTCTATCAACCTCCGCACCTCCTCGTTCTTCCATCAACACAGCAGCCATGCAGTCCACTTCCATCTTGGCCCGTTCTTGTGCGGCCTGCCGCCGTCGAAAGATCCGCTGCGACAGACAACGACCCACTTGTGCGTACTGCCGTAGACTGCACCTCGAATGTTCGTGGCCTATCCCGCGGCCCCGTTCCAGTCGCGAAGACAGTTCATACAACAACGAACGCGCAGCGAGGAGCCCAACACAAATCTCAGCGAGGACTCCTACGAGATATACGACAGAAACTCCAGCGAATGTTCCATCGAGAAGCCCGAATCCACATGCCACGCCCGCGACGGAGCCATTCTGGGCACAGGTAAATGCCGAAGTATGTCAAATGCATGAGCCGCGAGTCTTAGACAGTGTCAACTCTTACGGATACCACAGGCCCGCCGATCTGGAGTAACATCGTCGAGTGAGAGCCACAATGGCGAACTCGGCGGCATCAATTCAAGTTGTGGCCAGGATTCGGCGACTGCAATGATGTTCTTCCAATCCGACTCATTACCAGTTGACACCCAACACTACCATCCCTCACCCACAAATGCCTTTCGCCTGTGGCAGACGTTCGTCGATAATGTGGACCCTTTGGTCAAGATTGTCCATACGCCTACCGTCCAATCGCGATTCTTGCAAGCGATCATGATGCCTGACGGTATTGAGCCTTCATTTGAGGCTCTCATGTTTGCTATCTACTATGCTGCAACCATTAGCTCACAGGCCACTGAAACTCGAGAGGTCTCCTTGAGCGAACATCGAACCAGCGAACTTGCGAAATATCGCTGGGGTCTCAACCATTCCTTAGCCGCAGCAGGCTTCTTCCAACGAAGCCGTGACGTTGTCAGCTTGCAGGCCTTTGTCATATACCTTGTAGGAAACAAACCTTACTGCCATCAGCTACTGATGTAAGATTGAGTTCTCGCTAATCGTATCTTCAACAGATTTGTGCCCGTCTAGACAACACTAGTCCCTGCGTCTGGACTCTGGTTAGTCTTGCTATTCGAGTGGGGATGCGCGTGGGTCTGCATCAGGAACAACCCTCCCAAGCCCGAACGCCCTTCGAAATTGAGATGCACCGTCGTTTATGGTGGCAGATCTGTACCCTGGATACAAGAAGCGCCGAGGATGAAGGAACTTTGCCGCTAATCTCGCAAGCAATGTCGAAAACTCCTCTACCCAGTAACATAGCGGATGCCGACCTTCATGCTGAAATGAGCCAAATGCCCAAAGTAAGCAAGAGTGGCACCGCGATGTTTTACAACAATGGACGAATCGAGACGACCCAGGGACTACGGAACATTCTATTCGTAGATGCCACCTCTCATTCAGAGGAGGTAGAGAAAAGCCCATCCCTGCAAAACAAGATTGAAGCTATTGACACACTGGAGAATCGAGTGCAGTCCGAGTACTTCGATCATTGCGATACCAAGATTCCGCTTTGCAATTTCGCCGTCACTACCATCCGGCTTGTCTTCCTCAAGGCTCGGCTGACACTGCATATCAGCCATAGTAACCGTCCCGTGGAGTGGTGTCCAGAGATCGATGATTTCCTTTTTAATACCAGCGTGGACATCTTGGAGAGAACTCAAGCGTTGGTAACATCACATCAATACGAACGCTGGTGGTGGCTGTGCGTTACCCAAGCTAAGCAGTCTGCCCTACCAAAAGCCTTTGCTGACTTCCTGCCTTTCGTTCTGCAGATTTCGCACATACGTCGAATGGGACGCGTTAGCACTAGTACTTCGAGGCTTGTGTCGAAAGCCTGATCGGACCAATGCAAGTAGGGCCTGGGCGGCGATTGAGCTGGCATGGACATATGCCGAGACACTCGCTGCTGGATCAAGTCATAGCAAAAGATGGACAAGCCTATGCCGATTGAAGACAAGAGCACAGGCGGCAAAGATGCGATTCCAGTCTCCAGAAGAGACCCAGCCCTGCAACCAGAACGACGCCTTTCCACAGCTTCAAGCTTGCTCGGTCACAGACATGGTCACAACAGTACCTACATCTAGTACGTTGGCTTTCGACGAACTCGAGCCTTACGGGTCAATGGCCACTTACTGGAATCTGCTAGACGAGGAGTGGAGCACTGCCTGTGATGTGAGATTGTAGAGAAGAACTGTTCCGGTTCTCACAATTCTCTATCTACTTGAGGTCAGGCCTCCGTCCAAGGTTTGCTTGAAACCCACAAGCAACGAATGCTACAGGGCTCTTGGAGACTGTGTGTCAGTTCGTGGACATGTCTTCGATTTCCTCAGTGTCCTCCGCCTCCTTTTCGTCAGGGGAAGCATGAACACGCTCGATCTTCCCGTCTGCAGTACCAGAACTTTCCATATCCTGGGGCGAGGATCTTTTGAAGTCTCTGGTCACTTTATACCACTTGTCTGCCGAAAAGAAGATCTCGTCGATTTGCTCCAGCGACCGGCCTTTGGTCTCGGGAAATATGAACAGAACAAGCGGTACTGTCGCAGCTGATATGACCGCAAAGATGATGTATGTTTGATATCCAATTGACGCAAAGCATGTCGGAATGATCTCGGCGATGACGAAGTTGAAGAGCCAGTGAGTCTGTCGAATCATCAGCACCGTGGAAAGTATAAGCTTTCGATGACTTACAGCTGTTCCGATTGCAGAGAAGTGAACACGAAGCTCGGAGACTCCAATCTCGGTCGCGTACAAGAAGTTGGCGCCCAGATAGCCCACTGGAAAGAATGTCATGTACAAGAACAGGAAGAAGACGGCTGCCCTCCCCGACCCGACGCTGTGGTCCAGCTGCGAGACAGTCGCGGCCAGGCTGACCATCGCTAGACTCATTCCGGATCCAGAAATAATGAAAAGAGGCTTACGACCGTAGCGATCGACAATCATGAGTGGGATTAGGCAGACCAATATCTTCCAGCTCAGCAACGATGCGCTCAGGACAGCTGCCTCCCGGGTCGCAAAATGCAGCGACTCTGTGAAGATCGTGTTGGCGTAGTATGTTACCCCATTCGCGCCCGTCATCTGAGCGTTGAAGTTGACCGCAAAAGCGAGACAGGCTCGGTAGAACTCCTCCTCTTGACGTTTCGACAGGATCCTCGCCCAGCCCTTGACGGTGCGTTGGCGATGAATTTCAAACGAGTCGAAGACAGCAGTTGCTTTGATTCGAAGCTCGTCTGAGTCGTCCGCCATATCGTCCAGGATGGCATAGACATGTGTGGCCTCGTTGATGCGGCCTTTCTGTGCAAGCCACACGGGCGACTCGGGGAAGAAGAACACAGAAGCCAAAAGCATGAGAATGAAGATGATAGGGATCGCGAGTGGCAGCCTCCATGCGACCTGGCTGTGCGGAATCACGCCCAAGCCATAGTTGACCCAGGACGCCATCGCTGAGTTTCACGTCAGTAAAGACTCATTGCTACACGGGATACGATTGGACGCACCTTGACCAGTAGCTACGAAGATTCCAATCACCACTACATTTCTGCCGCGACTCTTGGGCTTGGTGCACTCAGATTGCCAGACTGGAACGAGTGCATTGATGCCACCGACTCCCAGGCCTGTGACTATGCGACCGACGATGAGTTGAGCAAGCGAAAAGGACGAAGCCTGGAGCGTTTGTCCGATAATACCAACAACGGCATGGACGGCCAACGCACGTCGACGACCATAGCGATTCCCAAGGGGCACGGCAAACAGGGCGCCAAACAAGCAGCCGATGGTATAGATAGCTACGACGGTGCCTATCACGCCGAAGTCAGCACGATGGTCTGCTATCTGCATTGCCATATTGAAACCCACCCTGGATGGTAGCCTTGTGCACTTTATTCCCGCCCTTTGCATCGACGGTATCGATCTCTGGAAACGTATGGACGAACGGAGGATAACCCAGAATACCTCCTGTCGACGATTGATTGTACCCGAACAGCAGGAAAGCTGGCAGGACGACCAATGCGATGCGAACAACCGCAAGTCGATGACCTCGTAGGTTGAGCAATGAAGGCATGGTGTCTTGATGGTGCAGTATTCGTCGATGATCTGCTGCGCCTAGTGACCAGTGAGAAGGAGAGGGATAAGGCCTAGCTGCAACGTGAAGGCTGGGCATGAGTGTAGATCAGACTCCGCAGTACACGCAGCCTAAACTTTGAGACGGTTTAGGATTCAAACACGGCAATACGATGTTTGGACCAGGTTGAGAGATCTTTTTTGAGGAGGTCGGGCTTTCGCCGGTCATGGTCTCAGTGGGCCGCGACGCTGTTACGACATATGTGGTGGAATCGGCGAGGAGTGACCACGCCCGCCTAAACTTTGAACCGATCCAACCTCGCATGGGTGGCTGTTTGACAAACTCTAGATTGATCAGTCAAGGGCGTCGTTTTGTTTGACTGGGTCTCTGATCTCGACATCACCGACTCTCGCCATTTTCACGGCGATTCTGAAGAAAGCTGTCAGAGCCAATCAACACAATGCCACCGGTCCCAGCGAAACCACGAATCTTGCTCTTCAATCCAGTGCGGCATGCACTCGCGGCATATAAGGCATTGGGTGATACCACCGCCCCAGAGGTCGTCACCAGTAAATCGCGGAGCGAGTTCTTCAAGGACTGTCAGGGCAAATATGCGGACGTGGCGGCAATCTATCGAACTTCAGCTAGTGGAGCCGTAAGTAAAGATTCACTAACACTGACATGAATATCAGACTAATGTGTTGTGCGGCACAGATCGCGGGCAAATTCGACAAGGACCTGATCCAACATCTCCCACCTTCAGTCAAGTTTATTTGCCACAACGGGGCAGGCTATGACCAAATCGATGTCGATGCTTGCTCGGCCAAAGGAATTACTGTTACTTACGCCCCGGACCCAGTAACGGACGCCACCGCGGATCTTGGAGCCTTTCTCTTACTTGGTGCTCTGCGGCAGCTCAACCCTTCGCTGGTATCTCTGCGAAAAGGCAACTTCAAGAATGGCGTAGACTTTGGCCATGACCCGCAGGGAAAGGTTCTCGGGATATTGGGCATGGGACGTATTGGTAAAGCCTTGATTAAAAGGATGACGCCTTTCGGAATGAAGTTCATTTACCATAACCGTCGACCCGTGGACGATGCGGGCGATGCAAGATATGTCTCCTTCGCCGAGCTGCTGTCTCAAAGCGATGTCATCTCAGTCCACGTTCCCCTGACGAAACCCACCGTTCATCTCATTGGAGCCAAAGAGATCGCGCAGATGAAGCCGGGAGTGGTGATCGTCAACACAGCGAGAGGTGCGATCATCGACGAGGCTGCCATGGGAGAGGCGCTAGAAAAGGGGCATATTGCTGCTGTTGGACTCGACGTGTACGAGGAGGAGCCCGTAGTACACCCAAAGCTACTGTCAAATCCTCGTGCCCTACTTGTGCCGCATTTGGGGACACATACGACTGAGACTTTGGCAAAGATGGAGACTTTGGCGATGGAGAACGCGCGGAGGGGTGTGCTGGGTGAGGAGCTTCTTACAGTTGTGCCGGAGCAGTGCAAGGCTCCGGCCAAGATTTGATCTAGATTTTGGTCCAACCCAGTCTTTCACAGACGGTCTCGTAGATATAGATCTGCTTGAACGAAAGCTTCGTTTGGAGCTCCAGATGGTGTTGAATTGACCTTCTTTAAACGTCTGTGCGGACCCCAGCGAGTTCATACTATAGACACTTGCCTAGCCTTGCTCACGCAATCCAGCACATTTAAAGCATAGGAAAAGTCTGCAGCGCACTTTGGCCGAGATCGTCGCAGTAGGATCGAATGACCTAAAGCACCCGGCTGCGTAGTGACCGGTCACACGACCTCACCAGAAGTCCCACTGTGACGGGTTAGTCAATGGCTGGATCAATGTTGTGCCGTTTTCTTTATCCGACTAGAACCATGCCGGCAAAGTTGCGACCTTTGAAATGTTAATTGGGTGATTAAAACATGCCAAAAGAAAGGCTTTGCTACTTGGCTACAGGTGAAATCAAACATTGGATTTTCTTGGCATCTATTCCACCCTCCAACACGCTACTGAACGTTTATCATGGCGAAGGTTGCGGTTTTGGGCGCTTCAGGCCAGATAGGCCAGCCATTGAGCTTGTTGCTCAAAATGGTAAGTAAACGTTTTGCTAGGCTAGCAACGCACAAGGCTGATCTCAACGTGTAGAGCAATCTTGTCAACGACCTCTTTTTGTACGACGTGGTGCACAGTGTCGGGGTTGGCGTAGATTTGAATCAGATCGACACACCCGGCAAAGTTCAAGGATTCTTGCCTGCCGATAATGGGCTTGAACAGGCTCTTGCAGGCGCTGAGGTCGTAGTCATCCCAGCGGGTATTGCACGAAAGCCTGGCATGACTCGGGATGGTCAGTACAAATCACCTCTATCTTGCAAGACTTGAACATAACTAAAGCTGAAGTTTTGACACAGATCTTTTCAAGACGAACGCGGGCGTGATAAAAACGCTCATAACAGCTGTGGCGACAACATGTCCAAAGGCGTATGTCTGCGTTATCACCAACCCGGTAAATAGCACTTTACCCATCGCTGTCGAAGTGCTGAAGCAGCACGGCGTTTTCGATGCTCGCAAAGTCTTCGGGGTGACGACACTCGATGTTGTCAGGGGGTCAACTTTTGTGGCTCAGGAACTGGGAGACCCGAATCCTAAGAACTACGTTGTCCCGCTCCTGGGGGGTCACAGTGGCGCAACGATCTTGCCGCTTTACAGCCAGTGTCAGCCGAAAGTCCAACTTTCCCAAGAGCAGCTCGAGAGGATCACCTACCGTGAGTGATAGCCTTTCAGAGTGAATGCCTGACCATTATAGCTGATAAAAAGGCAGGTGTGCAGTTTGGCGGCGACGAGATCGTGAAAGCAAAAGCCGGAGCAGGATCAGCAACTACATGCATGGCATACGCAGGTTTTCGGTTCGTCCACCTCCCCCTCCATCTTCGAAAGTTGCAAGCTGACTTTGCCAGCTTCATTGAGTCCATACTTCGAGCAAGAAACGGCGAGAATGGTGTCGTTGAGGCCGCATACGTCTACCTCCCTGGAATTGAAGGTGGCCAGGCAGTCGCAGACAGACTGCAGGTTGACTATTTTAGCACCAAGCTCGACTTCTCAAAGGAGGGAGCTGTTCGAGCACATTCAATCGGGCCACTCTCGGAGTATGAGGAGAAGTTATTGGCAGCAGGTTTGCCGGAGCTGAAGGTCAATATAAGCAATGGGACAGCGGCGGCGACTGCGAAGATATAGGCTCATAGGTTGAGGAGGGCATATGCCTACACGTTGATCTCACGTATAATCCCATGAGAGATGGCTAGATATCTAAAAGTACATCTCTTATGTAACAACTCTGAAAGACTTTCAAGGTATCAGCTTGAGATGAGTGACGATAGGGCAGCGCTCAGGCATTTGCAGAAAGTGCTTGCGTTCTCAAGTGATATGAAGCAACCCACTGACCATTTTTACAACTCTGGGCATAAACCTGTGTGCTGCATCGTCTGCAAGGATGCTTGCGGAGAACATCAGCACATGTATCTCAGTATTCTGTGACGTGCGTGGATCAGTTCCCGGGCTTGGCTGCGGTTCTTTCCTAACGGTGACTCAGTACTGCACTAGACGAGACTGATAAGGAGAATGTGGTTTTATTGAGAAGAGAGTCGATGACGATCTCGGTACTCTAGGTTCGGTACGATGAGCAGCTGAGTAAGCATGCTGGCTTGGCAATCACATGCCAAATTAACTATAAATCCTGTCCTTGCATGTTACTTTCAAGGACGCCTAAATAGCCCTACAAAACACATTACAACTGAAACAGTCTATAGAAGTACTTTCCGCTACCTATATACTCCTTTATTCTACTTATTTAGTTTATTAGGAGATTACCCGTTAACGTTAAAGTCTTACTAAAGTTATAGATAACGACGAAGTCGTTAACGCCGATAACTAGCCTATTACCCGCTAACGCAAAATTAGCTATAACTAGGTTATCTACGGGATAGAACGGGATATAATTAAATACACCTAACGTTACTTCTAATAGCGAGCGAATAACGACTAGAATAATAAGATACGATATTAGTTAATATATAAGACATAAAACGGGGTATTAGAATTACTAGTATCGTCCTCGGCCGTATATACCCTTCCTACGAGATCGATATATATACCTAGGAAGATAAAACTATTAGCGATATAGTTAAAAACGGGTCCGGATACTCTACGTTTACTATTAGTAATCCTAGTCTATATTAGTAAGAACAGTCGTCCGTTTATAGGCGTTCTATTATCTATTAGATTATAGACGTAGATAGAATTCGCCTTAGTTATATAGGTCGGTAGCTATAATAACTAATCCGTATTAATTAAGGGCGTATCTAGGGAAAAGACCGGTAGGTTAGTAATTATCTCTAGTATAAAAGCGAGTACCTCTATTCTTAGGTATATATACTCGTTATATAAAGTTTGCGCTAATCCGGAGATACTCTTATTCCGTTCGGAGTAAACTAGTTATTAGGTCCTAGTACTAGAAGTAGTACTTTATTAGTTAGGCTAAACTTCTATACCGCCGTATCGTACCGCTACTACGGAACCTTAGGAATATTAGAGTAAACCGAGAAGGTCGTAGTATAGATATAATCCTTTCCGGAGATTCGTACGATTATAATATCGTCGTACGGCGCTAATAGGATACTCTAGTACGAGTTAAATATAGGTTTTATTTTTAGTATAATAGGATCGATTACTACTTATTAGGATCGGTTCGTTAATCCTAGAATCTTACTATAATAGGGGGTTGTAGTAATATATAGAACTCTAATTAACCTAGTACTAGGTTAAGTATAGAACAAACTTCTACCTTCTCTATCCTCGTATACGGCGAGTATAAAATACG